ATATATGACCCCCCCCCATGTGCTTAACACAACGATGCTGTACCCTGGCAAACTGTGGCGAGAACTAACCTGTAGAAATCGTGAACAATTTGAGCGGCCTCCCTGAATTTTTGTTCGCCACAGAATGTTAGCATATTTGCCATCAGCTGCGGATGAGGTTCATCGCAAACCTGAGTAGTGTCCACTCACATTATATCAGAAAAATCTTCACATTAGCATCTTACCTTCAGAACGTTTTCAGCAGAAACAAAATCGTAAGCAGATACAGTACACTGTAGATTGTTCAGTGCCTAAAAAACCATGGGACGTTTGTCAAAAAGTCAATTCAGATACCAAAGCCAGCTACCTGTCTCATGTCTCCTTGTGCGGTGAAAAGGAGAGCGTTGAGTCCTTCGTCATCATAGCTAACCTGGAAGTCGTTAAACATTTATGCATCAATGAGAAATAGCCCGATCGTACGTATTCATCGATCGAAGTTAATTACCAAAAAGTGCCAACAAAATGAGACTCCCACATTTGCGATCCCAAAAGCCCAACGGATCCAAAAAGCCCTTCAAACATTTTTCTCTGCAATATTTTCACGTGGCACGACACTCAAACAGCAAGTAGTCTTGTTCGCTGTGGATGGTGGGGCGTGTCAGTGCAGGTACGTTTCAGGTACCTGGAGCTCGTTCTCCCCCAGTGTTAAAGCGGGTTAGCGACAACAACTCGAGAAAAACGGCTGACACGATGAATGTGATACACTTGTCGCTTGTCGAAAAAAAGGAAAAACAATTGATGCCGCCAGCTCCGCTGCGCGCCCATCATCCGCAACGAATAAACTGTAAACTTGCTTCTGCATGAGGGCGTGGTACCTGTACAGACTGGCTGAATAGCATCTCACAAATGGTCCAGTTGCTTAGCAAGAGATTACCTAATTGTTGGCTTTACGAAATGCATTGTTGAGTGTAAAAAGAGAAAACATGAGAACAAACGTAAAGTTATGATGGCTTCTATGATATATCACCTACTAATCACGAGAAATTGAAGCTGAAGTGGAACTTGTCATAGTAGAAAAAGAACAAAAGGACTAATTGGTGAGCGATACACTGACGGCATAATTTCTGCAAAGCAGAAGAAAACAAGTATGGGCAAGTGATGAAGATATTTGAGAATTGTTCTAATAGAAAAAGAGGTATTAAAACGATATCATGGCGAGAAAACCCACCTTTTCTGCTTTACAAACTTCTTCAAGCCTGTG